GGGTTGACTTGACAGTGACTGGTTCTAAGAGGTGATGAATTAAGATTTATAGCTCAGAATTGCAGAGTGGAAGCAACCAGGATGGGCATACTGATGTGACAAGAGAAAGCCTTTCCAACCATCTCTCACCTACTCACATTGAGACCCGCCATCCAAACCACCTATGTGTAAAGACGAGTCAGTACTAGATGTTCCTGAAGTTCTCGTCTGTCAGAGAAGTGAGTGATTCCATCAAGAACGTAAGCAGGTGGTGGCTGACTGCTCTCACAGGGATAACAATAGAGGGTCTCGGACAGAGCTGGAGAAAAACATAGAACAATATTCTAACTCACAAAAAAAGACCAGACTTACTGGCCTGACAGAGATTGAAGAAACCCCGAGAGTACGGCCCCCGGACACCCTTTTAGCTCAGTAACGAAGTCGCTCCTGAAGTTCACACTTCAGCCAAAGATTAGACAGGGCCATAAAACAAAACGAGACTAAATGGGCACAAAGCCCAGGGACAAGGACTAGAAGGCAGGAGGGGACAGGAAAGCTGGTGATAGGGAACCCAAGGTTGAGAAAGGACAGTGTTGATGTGTTGAGAGGTTGTTAACCATTGTCATAGGGCAACACGTGTGCTGTTTAATGAGAAACCTTTGTTCTGTAAACCTTCATCTAAAGTGCAATCAAAAAAAAAAAAAAAAAGAACCTAAGCAGGTAGTAGGACCCACGCTGGACTTCATAGACCCTGGATCATGGCTACTGACCAAAATTCTGAAGAAACATTACGTCCGACCCTGGGAATTGCAATTTTTGAAAGTCAAGTTTGTAGTTGCTGTTAGGTGCCGTCCAGTCGGCTCCAACTCGTAGCGACCCCATGTTCAACAGAATGAAACACAGCCCTGTCCTGCGTCATCCTCACAATCATTGTCATGTTTGAGCCCATTGTTGCAGCCACTGTGTCAGTTCATCTCGTTGAGGGTCTTCCTCTTTTTTGCTGACCCTCTACTTTACCAAGCATGATGTCCTTCTTCTCCAGGGACTGGTCCCTCCTGATCACATGTGCAAAGTGTGTGAGACATAGTCTTGCCATCCTTGCTTCTAAGGAGCATTTTGGTTGGATATTGGCAATTTCCTGTGGTTCACCTTAAAAGATAAGGTTTCAAACGAAGTTAATTGGATGCAGTCATAAATTGTTGAGTGACTCATTCGGTCTTTTAGAGTGTTTTATTTATTATTATTATCTTTTAATCAACAATGCTTGGATATAATGATATCATGACAAACAGCCCCTCCCCCCAAAAAAGACAGTTCCCATTAAGTTCACTCCAACCCCATGTGTGTCAGAGTATAACTGCTCCATAGGGTCTTCAATGGCTAACTTTTCAGAAGTAGATCTCCAGGCCTTTCTTCCAAGTCACCTCTGGCCGGACTTGAACTTCTAACTTTTTGGGGAGTAGCCAAGAGTGTTCATTATTGTTGTTAGCTGCCGTCGGGTTGACTCCAACTCATGGCGACCTCATTTGTGCAGAGAAGAACTGTGCTCCACAGGGTTTTCAATGGCTGAGTTTTTGAAAGTAGATTGCCAGGCCTTTCCTCCGATGCACCTCTGGGTGGACTCAAACCTCCAACCTTTACATTAACGGGTGAGCACATTAACCATTTGTACCACCCAGGGACTCCTGGCACAACAGCCTACCTACTACAAAATAGTAGTTTAAAAAGGTAAGGAGACGCTTAGTTTGGTGACAGTACACCGCTTTTGAAGTCCTAAGTTTTGGATTGTTGGTCAAGTCTGTGATTTCCTGGGCCTTGGCCATTTTATGAGGGGAAAAAAAAACAGACCTGAAGTCAAGAACTCCCAGCTAAAGCACTGTGCAAATGCTTCCTTTCAGAGGGAACTTTCAGGAAGGAACCCAAGGGCACAAGGAGGGCCTTGTGCGTGTTCTGGAAGGTTGTGTGCTGGATCTGACTCTGGGCCTGGGTCCTGGCAAGCAAAGGCTATCAGCTCCTTTCTCTGGCTTTGAGTAATGGCCCAGTCAGTTTTCACAGAGCAGAAAAAGCAATCATGACTTCAAAAACCAGTTCCCATCTAGCCAACCCCAACTCATGGTGACCCTATGCATGTCAGAGTAGAACTGTGTTCCATAGGGTCTTCAGTAGATGATTTTTGGGAAGCTGATCACCAGGCCTTTCTTCCAAGGCACCTCTGAGTGCACTCAAACCTCCAACATTTTGGTTAGCAGTCAAGCGTGTTAACCATTTACACCACCCAGGGACTCTCTATAGACAGCATGTTAACTATATTCTCTCCGTTAACCCAATCTCTACCATGTGTGGTATATTTGATCTTTTATGGATAACTGGTTCAATCCATTGCAAATCTATGGGGAACTTGCTTGTTCCTTTAACAAACATCCCTCCCCAGAAAATGGAAGAGTAGCCAACATTGGGTGGTGTTCGTTATTCTTGTTAGTTGCCGCTCAGTTGACTCCTGCTCACAGTGACCCTCTGTGTGTCCAAGAATTGTGCTCCACAGAGTTTTCAATGGCTGGTTTCTCGGAAGTAGATTGCCAGGTCTTTCTTCCAAGGTGCCTCTGGGTGGACTCCCACCTCCAACCCCAAAAGGGATAGCAGCCAAGCTTGTTAACCATTTGCACGCCCCGGGGACTCCAGTCAAGACTTATAGGAAGGTGGACTAGTTATGGCAATTTGCCTTCAGAAGTTACCTCAGGCAGATCCCACGCTTCCTGATGACAGGATCATCCCCATCTCAAGGTATCCAAAATGGAACTTGTCAACTGCCTTGATTTCAATATTGTTCTTTATAAAAAGAAATAAATATTCATTGAGGGGAAACGGGGAAAGACAAATTTCCCTTGATCTCTACACCGAGAGATAACTTTTGCTAAGCAGCTTTACTGCAAACATTCTTCCAATACTATTTTTTTCTAACTACAGACTTTTTTTTTCAAATCTTGTGCTTTTATTCATTGTATTTTGAGCTGCTCCTTGGAAACCGTGTGGGGGCATTTCTACTCTGTCCTATAGGGTCGATATGTGTCAGAATCGACTCAATGGCAATGGATTTTAACGGGTTAGAGTGAGTCAGCCTGGGTCGGAGAACGAAGTTCAGGGCATTAAATTGCCAGTTTGTCTACTTGTTTCCTGTGTACAACTTTTGGTGGATTCCTTAGCTACAAATTAGACTGGGGGACGGTGTGAGAATTCTGAACACCCACTTTCATGGTAACGCAGGAGGAGACGAGCATCCACATGCCTTTGCTTGGTAAATAGCAGCATGCAGGGATGGCTTCAACGGAGAGAGAAGGGTAGGGGCTCGGATAACTCAAAAGCCTCGTCTCCCATCTCTTATGTCATCATTCCAGCTAATTTTGTTCATCTCTTTTAATTTAGTTTACTTCTATTTCTAGAAATATTACTGCTTCTATTTCTTCAGGTAAAACCGTAAGAGGTCCCATTTGGAAAATTTGCTTTTCTTTCTCCCTTCTTTTCTTTTTTTTCTTCTTCTACCCCTCCTCCTCCTTCTTCTTCTTCTTATTTTTTACCTTTATTAAGCTTACACAAGTGCCCATCAGCAGACGAATGGATAAACAAACTGTGGTCCATCCACACAGTGGAATATTGTTGTTAGGTGACGTCAAGTCTATTCTGACTCATAGCGTCCCTGTGTACAACAGAACCAAACACTGCCTGGTCCTGCACCATCCTCACAAAAATGAGCCCATTTTTGCAGCCACTGTGTTAGTCCGTCTCATTGAGGGTCTTCCTCTCTTTCACTGACCCTCTACTTTACCAAGCATGATGTCCTTCTCCAGGGACTGGTCCCTCCTGATGACATATCCAAAGTATGTGAAACGAAATCTCACCATCCTCGCCTCCAAGGAGCATTCTGGCTGCACTTCTTCCAAGACAGATTTGTTCGTTCTTCTGGCAGTCTGTGGTATGTTCAATATTCTTCATCAACACCATAATTAAAAGGTGTCAGTGCTTCTTCTGTCTTCCTTATTCCTTGTCCAGCTTTCGCATGCATATGAGGTGATTGAAAGCACCATGGCTTGGGTCAGGCTCACCTTAGTCCTC